TTGAAGACTGTACCACCTCAGTCAACCGTGACCATGGGACCTGTAAAGGGCCCGAAACGTCGGTTTGTTTGAAAAAACAAATATACGCGAATTAAATCCGGAAAAATAGTTTCATTTCCTATATTTAAAATTAGCAAAACAGTTTTTCCCCCTTCTCCTCTGGTGACCCGCCTTAATGGCCACTGCCACTGCGCCCGTTACTCTGAGAATAAGTTGACAAGTCCCATGTGCAGTCAGTAATTTTACCCTTCAAAATCGGAACGCAGTAATATTCATATTACTGCTTAGTGGCACGAATACGTAAATCTTTGAATCTTTATATCTAAATCTTTAATAGCCTACTTTTTGTGCTCCATGTGAAGATTAACTGTAAATATTCCAAATAATAAATAGAGGAATTAAATTATTTGCAACAACAAAATGCTACCGCTAGCAATTTCGGGCCATATTAGAGACGTGTCAAATGTCAATCACAAACCAAATCGTTTTTCTAAAGAACGTTCTTCGTGTTTATTTAGTTTTTTAGTCAAAAATTAAAGACGCATAACCAGGAAGGATAATTTATCGGAACCCTGATTTACCCAATTTATCATTTCACCGCTATTTGCGTAAAACGAGAAGTTTTCGAGTGAATAAAACGTGTTAAACGCGGCAAGTGAACCTTAACAATATTACAATAGCGGTTTGTATTAATTGGCTACACAGCACTGTGAGGTTACTGTGCTGCCATCAAAAGGCTTGTTTTAGCCAAATTGTTTGCTTATTGCGTCGGTTTGCGTTGATTAATATTTTACGAGTCATTTCGGAAGGTCAGCACACTTTTTCAGTAGCAGTAGAGGTCCTTGTGAAAGAGTTCGTCCAGGGAAGTACTGCCACCTTACCTATTTCTGCCGCCAAGCAGTAATGTCAGCATTACTGTGATCCGGTTTTGAAAGGTAAGGGCGCTGGTGAAATTACAGACACGTGCGATTTGTCAACTTATGTCTCAGGGTGAGGGGCGCAGTGGCAGTCTGCCCCTCAGATCATTGCAATTTAAAACTCCGAGTCGCAGTGCAACTGTTACGGACAGCGTACCATCAGGCGCATGACTTGTTCGTCCCGTCACTTGATATTAAAAAAAAACACTTAAAGTTACCTAAATGGGAAATGCAGCTTCCTAGGAATGATACTTCAAGCGCAGTGCAGAATCCTAACAGGATCTCGCCAGCCACCACCGGTGGAAGTGGGTGCATATGTCGTAACCGTATTATCTGAAGCGCCGTATTACATTACGTTACGGCTAACCGCTTTGCAAAACGGTGCTATTTTCTAATACGGCTACCTCCTGTTTAGCCGTATTGTTCACAGGGAAAATAACACCTTGACTATGAATTATGAACGACAGATACAAAACCAACATTATCGATTATAAAAAAAAGATTAGCAATCTTTAATAGTAACCATCAAAGAACATTTAAAAAGTACGTTACACAGTCTCGTAACAAGGCTCAAGGTAAGGCTCAAAATGTCAACGTATGTATATTTTTAGAAAGACTAATTCTTCTCATAATTATGAGACTTTCTTATTTGGACTTTGTTGAGACAGTTGCTGTTTGCGACGCGACGGCAAAGTCAAATAATAATTTATTCCATAGGTAAAATTTTTACACTTGAAAACGCTATTCTTAAGCTACTTTTTAAACTACTGCTCGTTCACTACGCTGACCTCCCTGAGAAGAACGAGCAAGAATCTCTAGGGATTGCTCTTTTTAAACAAAATTAAATGCTATGGAATAAAATACACTTTGAATTATAATTGTGAGGAATCTAGACTCTCGTTGTCTGTCCATACCTCTTTATCTAAAACATACTCTTCAAGGTAAGTTTTTAACTTAGAAAATGATAATCTTAATATATTCTCCGGAATCTTATTGTAAAAACGTATACAGTTCCCCATAAAAGAATCGTTTACCTTAGTTAAACGAAATCGTGGTACCATGAGTTTGGACGTAGTTCTAAGGTTAATATTATGGATATCTTCTTTCTTAATGAAATTATGTATATTTTTATGGGCGTACAAAATACAATCTTACAATGCGGCGTACTTTTTTTTGGACGAATTGCAATACGGCCGAATTTGTGGTAGCCGTATTAGAAAACAGCGCCGTTTCGCAAAGCGGCTAGCCGTAATGTAATACGGCGCTTTATAGAATACGGCTGTGATATGTACATGGGACCAATATAATCCCCCCCCCTCTCGGACATCTGAGGCGATCAGACGTGTGTTTAGTGAACCGATATTATCTTTTGCTTTTAAATTTAAATATAAATTCTGTGTCGTTAATTCACGCGAGTAATTAGAAGTACATACAATTAAGGAGGTGTATCAACGCGAGAATCATAGCCGCACACCTACGCGACGACGAGTGCAGGACTGTGTGTGAGTAACTCATTCATCTGTCATCTACTACGTGTCACACATACTAGTAATATTGGAGACAAGAGGAAAAGGGGTAATATACCCCACATATTCACTCAACAGAAAGAGATAGATAGATAGATAGATAGATATACACTTTATTGCTCACATACAATAACAAAAACAGTACATAGACAACTTAAAACTAATGTGGGCAAAGGCGGTCTTATCGCTAAGAGCGATCTCTTCCAGACAACCTTTGAGGTATAGAGGAAAGCTAATCTAAGGAGAAGAGGTAGTGTGCCAAAGTCAGAAACGTATAAGTAGTATAATATATATGTATATATATATATATATGTATCGAATAATAAATAAATAAATAACGGTGTACTAGACTTACATATATATTTGTAAATAATAAAGAAATATATATACCTAAATATACTTATACTTACCAATAAATATATAAATACATGTTGCATACTAGGAACGTTTCAGAAGATAGTTACGCAATGCAGTTTTAAAAATAAGAAGCGACTTGGAATGTCGTATTTCAGACGGAAGTTCGTTCCACAATTGTGCAGCCATAATCGTAAAGGAGTTCATGTAGTATCCTGACCGGGTGAAGGGAGGTTTCAGCAAGTTATCCGCCTTGGACCTTAGTTCGCGATTGTGATCTTCACCGAGAAAACGAAAACGTTCCTTAAGGTAAGGTGGGCTTCGAGGGTCATACAGTACATTATAAAGGAAACTGAGAACGTGCTCCTCACGGCGCTGCTTCATAGAAAGCCACTGAAGCCTTCTCCTATACTCAGACACATGATCGAACTTGCGCAACCCGTATATGAATCTGATGCAAAGATTCTGCAGACGTTGGAGCTTGCCTAATAGATCATCATTGAGGTCAATAACACAGACATCAGCTTGATCTATAATAGGTAGGAGCAGCGATTGCGCGAGTTCAATCTTGGTCTTCACAGGAATCAGATTTTTCCACCGTCGCATTGAACCGGAGGCAGCAAACACCTTTCTACTAACCTCAGCGATATGTGGCGCCCAAGAGATAACGAAAGCTTTGCCTTCAAAGAATCAGAGCTCAGCGTATACTGGACGATTAGGCTGTTTGTATGAAAGTCGTCGATCGGTGCCCATTTAAGTAGACCTCTGCAAGTGATCGAGTGTCACAAACAGTGATTCACATTTTTCTACGCTTGCATGCCTATATTGTCCTAGTACTTTTACTTGAATCATGAGGAGTTCTCGGTCGCTGATGCATTCTCCCCCGCCTCCGCCGACCATCCGCGCCGCCGCGGCCGAAGTTGCCGTAAGTACAGCCACTAAAGTCGACACGGCCGTAACCGTCTCAAACTCGTGGCGCAAATGCAACATGGGTCAGATGCGAGTAGCTACTCTGATTCTGATAGCCAGCCAAATGTTATTACGCGCACTAAGAGAAAACGCGAGGATGAATTAAATGTATTTAAGACTGAGGTACAGGATATGTTTAAGGAACTTATACGGGAACAGCAATATTTCTTCTCAAATTTAAACGAAAAAATGGAGGAAATTAAGACTCAGAATCAAACCTTACAACAGGCGGTTGATTTTAATTCCACAATGTATGATAAATTTTTGAAAAGGATGGAAATTCTTGAACAGGAAAAGAAGGAGGATCGGAAACAGATTTTGGTTTTGGAAGAAAAGATATAACAATTAGAGAGGCAACTACGTACGTCTAGCATTGAAATCAGAAATATTCCCCGGAAACCGAATGAAACAAAGCAGGATTTGGTGGAAACGATCGTAAAACTGGGTAAAGTCATTGACGTATCAATCCAATCTTCAGATATCAAGGACGTTTTTCGTACCAATTCCAATACCGAACACAAAACAATATTAGCCGATTTTACCTCCGTTTTGATTAAAGAAAAAATTACTCAATCCTTTAAAATGTTTAACAAGATAAACAAGGTTGCCAAATTAAATACCCAACAGTTGCATATTGATGGACCAAAGCTACCAATTTTTGTCTCAGATAATCTTACTCCCAAGACCAAACGATTGTTCTTCCTAGCACGAGATTATGCTACACATCAGGGATTCAAGTACTGCTGGTCGTCATTTGGGAAAATATTCCTACGTAAAGAAGATGGCTCTCCTATCATTCGTATCAATTCAGAAGCGGACCTTACATCACTTAATAGGAAGCAATGGGGCAAAGCAAAACGGCATTTTGCTTTGGGGTAATGCCGCCGATATCAATAGAATCTTTGTCCTGCAGAAACGTGCAGTTAGGGCAATTTACAATCTGGGCCCCAAAGTATCTTTGAGAGATAAGTTTAAGGAAATTAACATTCTTACACTAGCCTCACAATACATTTATGAAAATATAATTTATGTTAAAAGGAATAGTAATTTCTTTATGAAAAATAGTGACAGACATAACATTAATACGAGGAATAAAAATAAACTAGCTTTTCTTGATAGTCGTCTTCACAAAGTCAAACAATCATTTAAGGGGCAATGTATACGCTTCTATAACAAGATTCCGGTTGATATACAAAATTTGCCTTTCACGAGGTTTAAAACTATAGTGAAACAAAAACTTTATACTAAAGGTTATTATACAACTTCTGCGTACTTGGATGACAAAAATCCGTGGTAGTAACCCGTTTAGCTCATGGAGGTAGTCTCAATCTGATGTTTCAAATAAAAAATATTGTAAATGTTATTTACAAAAAGCAACCCCTAGAGTTTCTTGCTCATTCTTCTCAGGGGAATCTGCCTTACGAATGAGCGGTAGAGTTTAACCATTGTGACGATTTCAAGTGTAATAATGCTTACCTATGAAATAAAGATTATTTTGATTTGATTTGATTTGAATGACTAGCTTATCTGTCTGTGTTCAACTTGTTCAGTCATGCTCTTCATTTAAAATTTTAAATTACTTTCTTTTTTAAAAATGTAGCAATTAAAAAATACGTACATTATAAGTATCTAAATTACACACATACACTTTATACACATACACACACCATTTACACATCATCACAGACTCGTCAAATTAAAAATGTATTTGCAATCTACTAAGTCAAAAACCTCTCACACACAACTATCTTAATAAAAATCATTGCACTATATTATACATTGCCATTTAAAAATATAACATTAAGTCACGTATCATACAAAACATTAGTACTAAATAATATATTTTTGTCACTGAATAAACCCCATAATAACTATCGACCAATTCACTCCAAACGATGACATTTTAAATAGCATTGACTCTTACACCCCAGGCACGTCTTGCATTTGTGATGTTGAAGATGTTAATACCCATTTCTCTCACAATAATCGCTTAATAGTAGTATCCCAAAATATTCGAAGCATTAATCGTAATATAAATCAAATGGAAGTCTTATTAACAAGCCTAAATTTTAATACCGATATAGTAGTATTATCAGAATGCTCTGAAAGGCAATTCAAACCCACCAGCTCTCCAAAACTATAAATGTTATTATACTTTGAATTGCAATACACAAAACGAGGGAGTCGTGGTATATGTTAGTGACTTAATTATTGCCGATGTCGAAGAACCACCTTTCCTTGATGCCAACTGTCTAGTAGTTAAACTACCTAATCGTACGTGTATAGTTGCGATCTATCGGCCACCTGCTTACCATAATATCGACAACTTTCTAACGTCACTAAATGACACATTACAGTCTCTGAACGGGTACAAAAATATATACGTAACTGGGGATATTAATATAAATATATTAGAAAGTAGTACCCATTCTAACAACTATCAAAATTTGTTGAGTTTTCACGGACTCCTCCCGGGACACATGATTCCTACTCGGAAACAAAGCTGCTTAGGTCACATTTTAATAAAATCTGAACTAAATACATCAACTGCCGTCATACGTACTACCCTAACAGATCACTACACTACCCTTTTTAGCGTCGATAAAAGAAACCAAATAACTAAACCTCCGTCTATTAATAAAACTATAGATTTTGCTGGTGTGGTTTACGAGTTAGAGAATACAGATTTCAGCCCCATTCTAGAATGTAATGATACTAACACAGCTACCAAACTACTGCTAACCACTATAAAAAATGCTGTCCATAAAAATACCAAAATAAAAAATACAGTAAACCGGAAAACAATTATCCAACCATGGGTAACACCGGGATTGCTGCGGTGTATAAGGAATCGCGACAAACTGCATACTAAAACAAAAAAAGATCCGGAAAACAAAACAATTACTACTATTTATAAGCGATACAGAAATTTTTGTAATGATCTTCTTAAACGAGTGGAAAGTGAATATTATAAGTCTTTATTCTTAAAAGCTAGAAATAATACCAAACAGACGTGGAATGTAATCCGAAATATTGCTAAGCTAGGTTCAGGGACTAACGATACTAGTGAATTTCTGTATCTTACAGAAAATCCTAATGACTCAATTAATAAAGCTAATGATTATTTTGTTAATGTAGGAAAAAAATCTTGCTGAGAAAATCATGAAAGATTCTCCCCTCAACTCAAATGTATCCGATGTAACCGTCTCTAACTCTTTTTATCTGGCCGAGACTGATTTTCATGAAGTTCATGGTACCATTATGGAACTCAAAAATAGTTCGGCTACAGGTATTGATGACATTCCTACAAAGGTCCTAAAAATGGCTTCTCATGTCCTTGTACCCGCAATTACGCATATATGCAATAGGAGTTTCATAGAAGGTATATTTCCTGACTGTTTCAAAACTGCGTTAGTCAAACCTATTTTTAAAGTTGGGGACAAAAACAGTATCACTAACTACAGACCCATATCTATTTTACCTTCGCTATGTAAGGTGTTAGAGCGCTTAATAAATAAAAGGCTAAGGAATTATTTACAAAAATACAATATTATCTCTAATAATCAATACGGTTTTAGTTCCAGAAAATCTACTGAACATGCAGTAAATGACCTAGTTGCATACATAGTTACGCAATTAGAACAAAAAAAAAGAAATGCTTAGCAGTATTTTTGGATCTAGCTAAGGCCTTTGATACTGTCTCAGTACCACTACTCTTGAATAAACTAGAAAAAATAGGCATAAGAGGCACAGCTTTAAATTTGTTTGCCAGTTACCTTAACAATCGAACACAACAGGTCATAATCAACAATATAGTAAGCGATACTCAACGTATTCACTACGGGGTGCCACAAGGTAGCGTTCTTGGTCCTAGCTTATTCTTAATTTACATAAATAATCTTTGCAATCTTCAGCTGGATAAGGGTAAAGTTTTTGCTTTCGCTGACGATACAACTTTGGTTTTCCAGAGCTCGTCGTGGGACGAACTAACTAGTACAGTAGAAACGCAGGTCGGTCAAGTAATGAAGTGGCTACGTCAAAATTTGCTCACCGTAAACTTAAATAAAACGAAATACGTTACATTTACAAAGCTAGAACGCCTTCAACCTTCTAACTTACATATAAAGGCTCATCTTGTACATCATTTATCAATCCTGATACATGCTCATGTGTTTTTCTAGAACAAGTGCAAAATATAAAATATCTTGGCGTATATATCGATTCGACACTTTCGTGGATGCATCATACAGAAGTACTTACTAAACGGATTCGTAAGCTAACTTATGTATTTAAGCGTCTAAGATCCGCTACTGGGCTGAAATTACTCAAAATTACCTATCTCGCTCTATGCCAGTCATTGGTAACGTACTGCATTACAGCATGGGGAGGTACGTTTAAACGTTACATGATAAATGTTGAAAGAGCTCAACGAGCGGTACTGAAGGTAATGCTGTGCAAACGCTATACATACCCAACCGTACAAATATATGCAGACATAAAAGTACTGACAGTCCGCCAACTATTTGTACTCAAGTCTATACTAGATAGCTATGCAAAAACAACGTACGATCCTTTAGAACTGGCAAAAAAAAGACGGAAAGACATAATTTTCAAAACTGAACTATGTTCGTCATTCG